CTCTGGGGGCAACCCCGCCCCCGCCCCGTCGCCGACGGAACATCCGGGGGCTACCCCGTGGGGCGAGCCCAGAAACGCATAGTAGCGCTCGTCGTGCGCTACCAGGAAAACCCGTCGGGCCCCACGAGTGTGCTTGGATTGGACACTCCAGTGACTTGGATTGGCTCGGTCGAATGTAGGGAATGTTGTATTCGCAATCTTGCAGAGCTCTTGTACGGCCAGTGCCTTGGCTCCTTATAAAGCGTGCGACGATAGTGAAAAGTTCCCTATGGTTCCCTACTGGTGTCAATGTTCTCACTCGCTGGTAGTTGTTGGAGGCACGCGCAGCTGTAAAAGTGGTGCTGTGAGCTGTGAGCGGCGTCGCGTCGTGACGGGGAAGGACACGAGGGAGCTTACACTGCATCAGAACCCATATGATTTATTACTCATTTACCATTTATTAACTGTTAATCCTTACGCAGAATGCGAAACTAAAGACATTAGCCTTTTTTAACGGGCCTGACAGAACTGAACAAAACGGAAGACGGAACATCCACGATCAATTAAGTATAGAAATACATCAATACATCACACATGGATCCACGTACATGCGGCATAGGCAGTGTGGCGCATTTGCTTGGACCATGCCCAGTCGGTGACATCAGTGTGATCCTCTGGTGAGGGGCAAGCGCCAGGGTCATGCGAGTAGAGGCCCATCTTCCTCACACCGTGACCGTTTACTCCTTGAGGGTAGGCATCCACACACTTCTTGCAGACTTGGGGATGGCAATTCTCGAGGCCTGCAGCTAAGGGGCTGCTCCATAGCTGGATGTGCAGCAGGGGGTTCATCTTCAGGGCGGCCTTGACCGCAGCCCCGTGCATCCAGGCGTGGGGGCATTTCCCCGACTCTGCCACAATCTCCAGCAGCCGCAGCGCCGGGGCCGTGGCGGGGGTGATGCTCTTGAGCAGCCTGTCGTTAGGATCAACATCCACGCTCAGGTGACGCAGGGCAGGCAGCGAGGGCAGCGAGCGTAGCAGCGGCTGAATATCGCCCAAAACCTCCAGGGCCAGCCTGTCCACGCGGGACTGCCCTGACGATGCCAAGGCCTTGAGGGCATCGGCCAGCACCGTGCTCTGCTCCTCGGCGATATTTGTCGCGTAGGACTCCAGGTGGACACGTTGCAGTTGTTTGACTCGAAGGAGGACATGAGCAGCCCTGTCGGAAGCACCTCCTACGTCCCTGTGTAGATGGATGTGCAGTTCTCTGAGCGCTTTGCACTCCCCCACCGCTTGTAGCCCGACTAACCTATTGTCGCACTGCAGTCTGCGGAGTCTCGGCATGGCGGCTATCAGTTCCGCCGTCGTGCCCCTCCGTAATTTGGAGTTCGGAATCTCAACCGTCTCCAGGGTAGCCGCGTGCCCGGCCAGTATGGTGTTCACAAAGGATGCCGAGTTTTCGGTTACATCGCACCTGAAATAAGTGAGCGACGAGCTGGGTGGCCCACGCACGATGGGTTGGGTGGTCTGCAGTGGTGGTTCAATCACGACCGAGAGCGACTCCAGCCCAGAACACGCCGCAACAGTCCTGTACAGCACGTCGGCTTCAGTCTTCTCAGGGTAGCGCAGCACCAGCGCAAGTATCCTCAGACGCCCGAGGGACTCCTGGTTGCGCACGGCCAAGGCGTACTCGGCGGCGTTAAAGGCAACCGGTTGATCCGACCACGACCTCAGAACCAATTTTGCTACGGCGCACCCGGTCGTGGTCGCCGCCAGGGTCGGGACCCGGCCCGTGACTATCAGCGTCTTGAGGCACGGGGCCAGGCGCAGCACCGCGCCCGCGCATGGTTCGTCATCGCTGAGCGTACGGTGACGCCAAATGTCCCAGTGCAGGGCCACGCTGCAGAACCTCTTGCTCACGCGGCGGCAGGCTAGAACGTCTCTCACGGCCACGTGCTGCATCACTTTCGCAATCATGTCGTCCGGCAGCTGCTCCAGGGTCACCAAAGACGTTGTTGCCATTGCTGTCCACGATAGGGAATGTAAACTGCGCGGAAGAAACAGCGCGGGACCAGACGTTAGAACAAAAACTTGACAACACACGAAACACCGCTTCTGTATTCACTGCTGACTGGCTTACCGTGGCGGTCAGTAAATGTCAGATGGGTCGATGAGCTGCCTCGTGCGTGACAGAGCAGACTAGGACTGGACGGACGGACCGGAACACAACTGCACACCACGACTGCGAAAGCACTACTGACCCTGACCCTGACCTGAGTCTGATCCTGATCCTCCTCATCCGTCCGACGTCGCTCCGACGACCTACTGGGCCGAGTTATGCCGAGGCCGAGCTGCCGAGCTGCCGAGCACGGTGCCACGGTGCCTCTCTGGGTAACCCCGCCGCCACGGCAAGGGGCGGAGTGAGAGAGAGGTGACAGTGGCCGCCGCCAACTGCGGTACGTGGAAAACCCGAAAACGCGCCTGGTCTTCGAACTTTTGTCGGGTACACAGAGAATTGCGTATATTGCATGGTTTTCTGGTAATCATTGTAAGTTCTTCCCCTGGCTATGACGAAAATTAGATGTAGCCGATCGAAAACCTTGGGCCAAAAGTGGCCTCGCTGTTAGTCAAGTCAACCATTTTGGTGTGTTTAGTATTGTGTTTTCCTTTCTGAATCCTTTCTCGAGTAATATTCGTGCTGGTAGGTACCAGCAAACACTAAACAAGCTCTAAACAGACGACTAATTGGATTTGTATATGTTATTTGTACCGAGTGTTAATGCTTAATTAGACAATCAAAAAGAATCTCACAAATTTCTGCGTTGATTTGAAATCTTTTGTGCATTCGCCGTGTAGGAAGTCAACACTGATAATCTAAGTGTTCAACTGCTCAACACTTGTAAGTGTGCAACTGCAAGTTAAACACTTGCAAGTGTGCAACTGCAAGTTGAATACTGGCAAGTCTTCAACTCGGTAGGTGTGCACTTGCAAGTGTGCAACTCCTCGGTTGAGCACTTCCTACACAGTGAGCGTTCAATCTAAGGAAGTGTTCAACACGCTTGCAAGTGCACACCTACCGTGTTGAACACTTGCTAGTATTCAACTTGCAGTTGCAAACTTGCATGCATTCAACTTGCAGTTAAGCAGTGAAGCAGTTTTGCGAACAAAAACAGAACTTTGCTCAAACGTTTGCACAGAAGTACATCCAGGCAGACACTGGCACTAAAAGTAAAAGACTTAGCTATCGCTACTTTTTTTTCTCTTCATTCAGAGTGCGGTATTTATTAACGTCTTCAGCCGATCACGCCAAGACGTTGGCCACTTCCCTGGAGCGCGCGCGACTTGACCTCTGGTCTGGCCCCCGCGGCTGCCTGCCCGGTTGAGGAAGTGCCGCTCTGTCGTCACCGTGGCTCGTTGTGTAGTTTTACCGCTTCTCCTCGCGCATTCCGGGACAACTCGTACAGCGAGGGCTTTGGCCGCGCCGTGGAACTCATCGTTCCAGCCCTGCCCCGAGGCGGCAGACTTGGCACGCTCCTCGGCTATCATGTCGCGCCTCGAGCTGCACGTCTACGCCGTCATGGCATTCGAGAGCGCCGCGGCGCGCAGAGCAAAACGACCCCGGCAAGCCGTTCGCCGCGTGTTTTGTGTTTCATTTTCCTGCATTGTCATCATCACCATCACTTTTGCGCAGGAGAGAAAAGAGACCTGGAGGAGGTGAAAAAAGCGACATAAAGGGCCCCGCGTCGTCGGACGTGTCGCGTTGTGAGCGCCTTGATGACACGGCCACGCACGCGCGCACCTTTAGTTCGCATACTGAGGCCCCTCCTTGTTCTTTCTTGTGGCCTCGCCGTGCCATGTTATTAGGGGCCGACGACCCCC